GAAACATACTGATCAGGAAAGTTTTCCAGTAACATTTCAGGAATTCTTCCCCCTCCAGGCCCTTTACACCGTTATTTTGCCAGTTTATGTTAGTATAATTGAAGTCCCCCATTATCACTACACTAAAAAATAATAATAATTTGGTCACTCAATCCCGACTGTTTGTGGGAGACTACTGTGCACAATTGGCTGCCGCATTTCGCCCAAAAATATACAGTCAATTCACTTTACAGTATATTCTGTGAAGCACTTTGAAACGTCTCGAAGATGTGAAGAGTGCTATATCAAATGTAAGGATTATTATTATTATTACACTATTGGTTTTATCTTTTTGAAATTTGCTTGTAGATTTGCTTCTCTATCTCCTTCTCACTATTTGGTGGTCTGTAGTATACATTTGAGAGTGTACCAGTTCCTTTTCTGCTCCTTAACTCCAACCAAATTGATTCTGCTTTTCGAGCCACTAACACATCTTCCCTTTCCAGGGCTGTAACCGTGTCTTTGATCAATATTGCCACCCCTCCCTCCTTTTTTCCTTCCCTATCCCTCCTGAACATATTGTAGCCAGGAATATTCAGCTCCCATTCCTGCTCTTGCTTGGGCCACATCTGTTATTGCCACTACATCATAACCCCAAGTAGCAACTTGAGCCTGCAGCTCACCAATCTTGTTTGTCACGCTCCGTGCATTTATGCAAATGACTCCAAGACCGACTTAGTCTACTCTGCATTTTCCCCCTGTCTAGTCCTTCCTTTTTCCGGAATACTCTTTATTGCATTGCTGTTCGTCTCTCCCAGTCTTCTAAGTAACTTGTTTCTCCTTGCTGATGCTACATCCTGTTTCCCTTCCCCCGTCAAAATTAGTTTAAACCCTTCCCTAAAATAGTTGTAAGTGAATTTGCATTATTTGCAAAGCTTTAATGCTGGGTTGTATTTCATAGTTTGCCTGAAAGTCACAGAAGTGGTATGAGGAAATTGCACATGAACCAAAGTTTTCATCAAAGACAAGAATGGAAAACTGATTTTGCCAGCAGACTGTATGTAAAATTGCTGTAAAAGGTTTGGCACCATTCTCAATCACTATCCTGAGCCTTAGTGTAATTAAGCAGTGTTCAGTGATTAATGGCTTACTTAAAAATGTGCGCAGAACTTGATATTATAATGGATGATGGAGCAGTTGCCAGAAAGCTCAAGAAGCATAAATTGTACAACCTTCCCCATTAAATTAATGAAAAAAGAGCTGGTGTGGACATAATGCAGAAAATGTGTAAAGGAATATGCGAGGGTAAAAGCCTGTATGGCCAAAAACAGGTTCAATCATAATTCTACAGAAATTGGATCTCGTGCTACCCACTGGGTAGCTATTGAAGAATATGTAGATGAGTCTTCAAAGATGGCAATGGATTCATCGTAGTATAACCGCCCATTCCCCCATTTATCCTACCAAGTTTTGTCTGATCCGCCTTCCTCCATCTCCACAATTATGTTGAGTATGTTTCAACTTTTGATTGTTTGGTCAATATTCCTACCTCTGAGAAAATTAGCCCTGTGTGTGTATAAATTAATCAAGGATCTCACCTGGTGAATTTTTGCCCTCTACTGACCAGATACTGAATGTGGAGTACATTTCCTTGGTCATGCTGTTAGGGACTTGAAATCATTGTTGCTAGAAGTGTGCCAAAGTTTATGTTGACGTCAACATATACGGTAAGTTTGTGTTGATGTGTGGAGACGGGACCAGCACTTCACTTTTTTGTCAACATAGGTGGGATATCAAAATAAACTGTTTCACGATAAATGGGTAGGACTGTATTTTATTAGTAATATTAACAATAATAATTGGAGCTTGTTATCATGAGTTGGTCTGTGTCCATAAAAGTAGGACCCATGTTATAATGGATTGCATTATAAAATGTTCTCCAGTCTGCGCTTCTTGGTGGTCAGGATGCTAGAAATCAATAAACTGCACAGGTGCTGAAGAAGCAAGCCTGTCAGCAGCGACCACTCTCGCAGTGTTTCCACACAAATGATGCGCACACTGGGAAGCCTTCCACATCTACACATTATGCACATGAAGCCAGCCAGGCACCGCTGCAAGTCTACTGCACTTCTGGTCTGCTGAGGGTCTGTGGTATAACTATGTTCTATCCGGTCCTGATTTATGCAAAATACAAAAGGTATACACAGTATAGCGGGATCTGTCTGTAAATTGGCTGAATAAAAGGAAACAAAGTGCATTGATCAGTGGTACTAGGTTTAATTGGACACCTGTGATTGGTTCGTATCATGGGGTTCAGACCTGAGATGTCTGTTGTTCACAATACGATATTCATAAATTATTTTGATCAAGTTGTTAGTTTATTGGTGGATCGCTTTTCCAGGGCTAATAATCCCTTAAAAAGAAATTTGGTTACTCAATCCACGACTGTTTGTGGGACACTGCTGTGCACAATTGGCTGCCACATTTCTCCCAGAAAACATACAGTCAATTTACTTCACAGTATATTCTGTGAAGCTCTTTGAGACATCTCAAATACGTGATAAGGCGCTATATCAAATGCAAGGATTATTTATTTATTTCCTTTACAAACTTGGGAAATTGCAGTCATACAATAGAATACCCAGTGAGAAAGTAGATTAAAATAAATAGTTTGAATAGATTTTTGGATTTTTTGAAGCAATATTGTTCGCAGAGTGGCATAGATCACAAGGGAACTATGTAAACTGACCATAAGAAAATGAAAATGCATTTTCTAACAACTAGATTGCTTTATTCACCCAAATTATATCAACAGTTAAAATATTACTGCTGTTCATTTGACTTTTGATGCGAATGATTTGTGAAATAAATATTTTGATAAAACATACCCTTATTAGTTGGCTTTCTCCCGTGGAAGGAGGAATGATTTGCTATATGGATTTTTTTTTTTTTTCCTTTGTATAAACACGATTTTGGGTTAAGACCTTATAATATATTGCATTAAGAAACTGATTTTAAGATGATTTTGTTACATTACTGGAATTTACATGTTAACGCACAAAAACATCTTTCACTTGGATGTATAATGTGTTTATGCATAGAATCCAGCTGAATAGATTCTTTAGGAATTGGAGCAGCCTCACATCAGCCCTCCATGACCCACAGAAATATCAATCTAGATGTGTCCTAAGTAAGACTTTAACAACATACTGTTTGCAACTAACATTAAAGGTAATTTTTATAACAGAATAGTTGGTTCCCCTTGGACCCTTGCATTAAAACCAAATGGAAATAATGGCTGACTTTCATTTTTTTTATTATTTAAAAAATCAGCTAAAATTAGTTAATTGCTTTTAAACTTTCAAATATCCATTGTTTTCTTGTTCTGAAGGCTTTTGCCATCTTTATGAGAATTTGGTGATCTTTCACAGTTGGTAATAAACCATCGTAAAATAATAATAATAAACCTTGCATTTGATATAGCCTTATCACAACTTCTCCTCTAGCCCCCGCACCGTCTCGTGCGGCGTTCCTCGGGGCTCTGTCCTTGGCCCCTCCTCTTCAATATCTATATGCTCCCTCTTAGTGATATCATCCACAGACATGGAGTCAACTTCTACCTCTCTGCCTCCACCCTTGACTCCGAGACCACTGCTGTCCTGACAGAATGTCTGTTGGACATCAAGTCCTGGATGAGAGCTAACTTGTTGAACGTCAACAAGACCGAGGCTCTCCTGATTGGCTCCCGTCACCACCTCTTCACCTCAGGCACTGACGGCATCACCATCCATGGTTGCACACTCCACCTTGCTAAGCCAGTCCAGAATCTTGGGGGCTTGTTTGACCCTCAACTATCCTTTCATCCCCACATCTGCGCCATGACCCGCTCTGCCTTAACCCAACTCCGCAATGTCGCCCACCTCTGCCACTGTCTCACACCACAGGCCGCCGAAACCCTCATACACACCTTCATTACATCGAGGCTTGACTATGCAAACTCATTGCTTGTCGGCCTCCCCAACTCCTCCCTCCACAGGCTGCAGATCATCCAGAACTCTGCAGTCCGTGTCCTCTCCTGCCCTAGGCTCCGCGACTCTTATCACCCCCATCGTTGCCTGACTCCACTGGCTTCCCATCACACAGAGGATACAGTTCAAGATCCTGGTCCTCACCCTCAAAGCCCTCCATGGTCTTGCTCCCCCCTATTTCTGTGTCCTCCTAACCACCTACCATTCTGTTCGCTCCCTTCATTCAGCGGGCTCCGGCCTGCTTCACGTCCCCCACCTTGTTCATCCCATTATTGGCGGGCGGGCCTTCTGCCCCCACCTTCTGGAACTCCATTCCGCAGTTCCTCCACCTCGCCCCCTCCCTTGCCACCTTCAAGACCCATCTCAAGACCCTCCTCTTCGACCATGCTTTCAATCTCCCTGCTTCCCCCTGTGCTCTCCACCCTCCCCAAACCTGACCCTCAGCTCAGGTCTGTAACTCTGCCTGTCCAGTGCCTTGGGACATCCTCCCAACATAAAAGGCCCTTTACAAATGTAATTTTGTTGTTGTTGTGGTTATTACGTCTTTAAGATGTCTCAAAGCACTTTACAGAATATACTGTAGAGGGAAATGACTATATTTTGTGGGTGAAATACAGCAGCCAGTTGCGCACAGCAGTATCCCACAAAGAAGTCGTGGATATGAGTGACCACACCTTTTTTTTAAGGAATTCCTAACCCTGGAAAAGCGATCCGCCAATTGACTGACAATCAGGTTCCTACTTACTGCTAGGTAAACAGGGGCGTGTGGAGTAAGGAAACTTGCCCAACATTTTGCCCTGCTGGGAATCAAATCCAGGTTTCTTACTTGGAAGGAAAGTGCTCTAACCACTGAGCTACAGGAATCCAAGATAAAAATATTTCCTGAAGCAGGCACAAGCTATTTTTCTGAATATTCTTCCTAACTTACCTTTGTGTTCTTACATTGTAATGGGGAATAATAAAATGATTCTTCTTTATTTTGTCACTTTTTAGGTATGATGTTGACTCCAAGAGTTCAAATTTATCGAAGCACGTAAGTGTTCTTCATTTCCTTCTATAGTAAAAAATTATTTTACTTCCTGCTAAATTTTTCATAAGCTTTCACCTAAAACACTCACAATCTTAAATCTGAATTTCAATTTTCTTTTCTTTACATACAGTAAATTTTACTTTGTAAATGTTAAAAGACCCATTGTCTTTGCAGCTCTGACCTCCTCAACCTCCCTGACCTATCCTTCAAACTAATCAAACCAGTGCGCAACCTAAACATCAATCCACTGCTGTCCTTCTTTCCCCATATCCGGTTTCTGACCAGGACAGCCTTCCTCCACCTCTGCCACATTGCCTGCCTCCGACCATACCTTACACCTATGCAGCTGAAACAAGATCCACCTCTGCAGCCTGTGTCCTCTCCTGCACTAGGCTCCATGACCCCATCACTCCCATCCTGGCTCGACTTCCCATCACACAGAGGATATAGTTTATGATCCTGTTCCTCACCTTCAAAGCCCTCCAAGGCCTTGCCCTACCTCTGCAACCTTCTAACACCCTAACAAACTGCCAGCTCCCTCTGCTCAGCGGGCTCCGGCCTGTTTCATGGCCCCGCTTTGCCTACCCAACCATTGGTGCGTAGGCCTTCTGACACTCTGCCCCCACCCTCTGGAACTCCATCCCGCAGTCCCTCCGCTTGCCTCCTCCTTCCTTCAACACCTGTCTCAAGATCCTTATAAGCAAATGCGTACTCTGGAGAAGAGTCTCAGAATAGGTTTGTCCTGTACTGGTGTTCCCGGGTGTGAACTTGGCTCAGTTGCTCTGGGTCCAATGGCTGTGTGCTCCTGCTTTACATCAAGACCTGAGCTCAACTGCTATGATTATTGTATACCTTTTGGTGAAAACAAAGTATTAATTAAAAATCTTTCAATTGGGTAGATGAAAACATGAGTCTGTAATTGGTCAGAATACAAGTATATTTGACCTTTCATGGATAATCAGAACATTGTTACTGTGAATGTGCAGCAACATGCATTTACAGTGTTTAATTCATTGTAAATGGACCACTTTAGTACTATCACTTCTTCAAAGTTTATCTCACAGGTTTTCTGTTACTGTCGAATATATAAGCTGTTGATGATTTACAAACTCTTTTCATCAGCATGGTGTCTCTGGAAATGAGACAGCTAAGCAAGTCTCATTTTCTAAGTGAGTGAATTATTTGAAGCTGCAGAATAGTCACTTGAAATGTTATCAATTTTAATAGTGTTTTTGGGGGGTCAGCTGTGTGAATGCTGCTTGCTGAAACCCATCGCAATGTTTATGAGTATCCAAACCAGACCAAGATTTCCAGATATGTGTGTGCGAAAAAGTCTCTGTATTTGGAATGTGCATTCTGTCCTTGGAAGGATGCATCCTAATTCAAGAGAGTATTACAACAGCAACTTGCATTTATATAGTATCCTTTATGCAGGGTAGTGTCTCAGAGCAAATGATAGCAATAGGTTGGTGAGAACTGAGGCTTGGCGACTGTAATGTGAGTGTGTTGGGAGACTGCCAGAGTATAACCAGCTAAAATAGCTTCCAATTGAGAGCACTGCCTGGTAAGTTACCTGCTGTTTCTCCAGATGGGACCCTAACGGTTTGGGCTTTGGTTTGCATGGTTAACAGGAATGGGAAGAATACATCCCCAGTGTCTAGTTTGGCCCTCCAAGTCCTGCTGATGAGCTGGGCTAGTTAGACTATCTTCAGCAATACCCTGGAATGCTACAAAGTCACCTGACTCAGAAACTGGATACCAGGACTATGATAGAGGGTTAACTGGATTCTGTTGTAGTTTGTATGGTGACCGGTAGCCATCTTGGATTTTAGTCTCAAAGCGAGAAATATGTTTATAAGATTAGAGAGTGATTTCTGTGTTTTAACATTTGCTCTTGACCTTTAAATTATGAGAAATAGACAGGTACAGAGAACACTGCATTATAGGTTATCTACAATTAAAGAGTGCTGAAGGACAAAGCCACAACTGGGTTTCACAAGTTTCCTTCACAAGTGAAATAAACATTCTCCTTTTTGATGGCTTACTTGTACAGTGCATGTTTCTCAGTTTCATGTTTTATACCAATTACAATATACCCATTTTATTTTAAAAAATGCAAAAAAAAAAGTCTAGCACTAGTGCTTTAAGATTGGTTGTTTCCTTTGGCTAGAGTGGAGCACCATGAATGGAATGTTCTGGCTCCTGGCCATCTTTCCATGGCTTGTCCAGTTAAGGCTACCTTTCTCACTGGAGCTTTGGCTTGCAGGGTTAACGGTAGCTGAGTGGGAAGAGACATTTACGTAGTATTCTTCATGCAGGGTAGCATCTCGGAGCAAGTGTTAGCCATAGACTGTTGAGAACTGAGGCTTAGCTCCCTGTCACTACTCTGTGCCTCTAAGTCCTGCTGATGAACCAGGCTAGCTGGTCCATTATCAGCAGGGCACAAGAGCATTGTGGTTCTGCCTGCCTCAGGAATTGGGCTACTGAGACCACCACAGAAGATTGACTTGATTCAGTTGCCAAGCATGTCACCTTAGAGATAGCTCAGTTTCAAGGAGATCCTTGCTTACTGTCCCACAAAGGAGGGATAATCACCAGTTGATCATTTTTTCCTGCTACGGAGGGTGATAAATGTAAATTGTTGTTGCATAAAACTTGTGTTAGAGTCACCCAGCACTGCACTGGGTTGCCATCCTAGATAGACTATGTTCAATGTCCCAACATGGGGGTTGAACCATAACCTTCTGACTCAGAAATGAGAGCGATACCAACTGACCCAGCTGGCACATTGAAATTAATTCTACAAAATATCCCATCACTTAGATGGTGCTAATCTTAATAGCATCAAATAAGCAATGATTTCCAATAAGGAAATTGAAAACATGTCATGCTGACTCGTGGATACACCATACTAACAATATCTATTTTCAGAGCAGAGTTCCCACAGGACATGTTCCTGAAAGGAACCATAGTTGGATTTCTTATTAAGGAATCTCACTAGAAATTGTTTCATGTTAATGTATAATCTGATTGCCAAAGAATGTTTGTTGCCACTTCTCTTCGATCGTGCCTTCGGTCGCCCTCCCACCTCTCTGCCTTCCCTCACCCATACACCATCCCTCCCCCATGCTCGGGCCCCAACAACTGACTGTTCAGTGCTTTGGGATATCCTCTCAACGTGAAAGGCGCTCTATAACTGTAATTTTTTTGTTGTTGTTGTTATTAAAATCAATAGTACAACCCAGCTGACTCTTTGCTCTCAAATTTATTTTTCAGGATTTCTTGGGTCAAGCATTCTGCACATTGGGGGAGATCGTTGGTTCACAGGGGAGCAGGCTGGAAAAACCTCTTGTGTAAGTAAAATATACTCTTGATCTATATGACAGAGTTGTTGTTTTAAGTGAATCTACAACGTTCATTTCTAGGGTCCTTTGCAATGTTTACACAGCGACACACTTGCTCCACATTTACTAAAGATATTGTGTATGTACTTTCAAACCAATATTAGGAATTAACAATGGGGCTTCTTGTGTCTGGTTTAAGCTTTCAGCACTCTGTTTTTATTTTAGTGGCTATTTTCACTGATCACTGTTAGTTTCTGAGTTTGTGAGTTTGAACCTGTTAAATTGTAATCAGTATATATCCATTCCATATTAATAAAATGACAATGTCTGTCTCTCTACATGTCAGTTTATCGATTGACGTAGCAATAAACGATTGACGTAGAGACATGATTTGCACCTCATCGGAAAGGTCTTGCAACTGACAAGACATGGGCATATTTTTTTGGGGGATCTCCTATCATTTGTGGAGTCCTGCAGCTCAGTGGTTAGAGCACTTGCTTTGCAAGCGAGAGACCTGAGTTCAATTCCAGGCAGGGCGAAACCTTGGGCAAGTTTCCTTACTCCACACACCTAATAATAATCCCTCCAAAACCAAAAACAATAATAAAATCAGTAATTTTCAATGTACGACTGTTTGTGGGACATTGCTGTGCGCAATTGGCTGCCGCATTTGCCCACAAATATACAGTCAATTCACTTTACAGTGTGTTCTGTGAAGCGCTTTGGGACGTCCTTCCGACGTGAAAAGCGCTATATCAAATGCAAGGATTATTATTATTATTGATGAGCTGCATTAAAGAATGCTTTAATTAAGCCCCAAAATATGAGGTGTGCGTTGTATTCTGCAACTACGTAGCAACAGAGGAAAGCACACACTATTCAGAGAAACACATCTCTATTGTGCAACAAATGTATGGCACTTTTTTCTGGTTGTCATGGGAGCTAGAGTCCTCCCATATGAGACAGAGAAGGAGACTGAGAGAGAAAGAGACTGAGATAGTGAGAGAGAGGGAGAAAGACTGAGAGAGGGACTTTGTGAGAGAAAGAGAGAGAGAGAGAGAGATACTGAGTGAGAGAGAGAGAGAGATACTGAGATAGTGAGAGAGACTGAGAGAGGGAGACTGGGAAGGAGACAGAGAGGGAGAGAGAGACTGAGAGAGAAGCAGAGAGAGAGACTCTGTGAGAGAGAGATAGAGAGATAGAGAGAAAAACATAGAGACTGAGAGAGACTGACAAAGAGAGACAAAGAGACTGAGACAGAGAGACTGAGAGAGAAAATATATTAAAGGAGTCCTCCCACTGAGTCCTCCCAGCTGAGTATAGATAAAGACGTGAGTCAATTTACATTCCATATTGGATCCTTTGGTTGCAAGCAAAGCTGCAATGGGTACAGCTAGTAAAATATATGGGTACTGATGAACATGCTTTTCTTTCATGTGTGATATTCATGCATGTCTGCCTAGCTCAATGGTTAGAAATTGCATGACCAAGGTCACCTCAAAGGATCGTCTTGAGTAAGTTGCTGTGCTTTACAATAATATTTTGTTAAGGACTCTGCAAATTTGTGCTTCACAAGTTTCCCCTACTTTCTCTAAGCTATTAACTGGACTTAAAAATAAAAGTTTGTGGATTCTTATCTAAATGATATTTATATCTGTATTCAACTATGTATGCAAATTTAATTTAGAGTCTCTATGGAAAAGTATTTTACAAATGGATTTCGCTCTACTACCAGCAAATTGAATTGTAATATTTGAAAGGAGCAGGACAATTAAAATACATAGTAGATGATTGCTCTCTGCAGTGATTTATCAATGTATTTTAATATTGCTGTCAAAAATGATTTCAATTGATGTGATTATGCCTCTTCTGACAATATATTATTGTGCTGTTGTCAGTGGAACACCCAAAATGTTTATTCTTTCAGAAAATAACCCTTTTGTGAGATAGGATTCCTGACTTTGATGAGCCTTCAGCCCACACTGCTTTTATACTATTTCAGTAGAGAATAGCTGTGGGTTGGGAAAGGTGGATTGACTTGAGAAATAGTCATCCACAATCAGTATATTTCAACAAGTGATACATTGGTAAAGTAATACTTTATAACAGCATCCAATATATAAAATTGTGTTAATGCTGCATTAACGTCTTGCAAACTAAACTTCAGAGTTGCTACCAGATTACAAGTTTGTTAATTAATACTAGGAATAATTAAGGAATGTTTTATCAATGGGAAATAGCCCTCAATGAGCGCTTGGGAAGCGAGCACTCCTCGTCTTGGAAAGGAGACAGCTGCCGCCTTGCAAAGAAACACAAATCCACATTCTCTACATCCCAATAATAGATGCCATTCTTCTGCTCGACCAGAAACCTTGAACTATGCAGAGCATACAGGATTATCAAACCTGTGAGCCCTGAGCAATCTCTGTTTCAAATATCTGTTAGCCCAGAATGGAAACTGTCCCAAGGTGCTGGACAGTCAGAGTTTCGGACCCAAGATGGGCGTCGGGATTGAGAAGGGTGAAGGGCAGGGGGGGAAGCAGGGTGATGGAAAGCACGGTCGAAGAGGAGGGTCTTGAGATGGGTCTTGAAGGAGGCAAGGGAAGGGGTGAATTGGAGGGACTGCGGGATGGAGTTCTAGAGGGTGGTGGACGAGGCAGGGGACATGAAGCGGATCGTGAGCGGAGGGAGTGAGCAAGATGGTAGGGGGTTAGGAGGGCTCCTTGAGGTAGTGGGGAGCAAGACCATGGAGGATTTTGAAGGTGAGGACTGGGATCTTGAACTACATCCTCTGTGGGAAGCCAGTGGAGTCAGGCAAGGATGGGGGTACGATAGGGTTACAGAGCCTGGTGTGGGAGAGGACACAGGCTGCAGAGTTCTGGATGATCTGCAGTCTATGAAGGGGGGAGGAGTTGGGGAGGTCAACAAGCAATGAGTTTGCATGGTCAAGCCTCAATGTAATGAATGCATGTATGAGGGTTTCGGCAGCCTGCGGCATGAGACAGTGGCGGAGCCGGGCGATGTTGAGGAGGTGGGGGAAGGCAGAGCGGGTCATGGCATGGATGTGAGCTAGAAAGGATAGTTGAGGGTCAAACAAGACACCAAAGTTCCGGACTGGCTCAGCAAGGTGGAGTGTGCAACCATGGATGATGATGCTGTCAGCACCTGAGGTGTAGAGGCAATCAGAAGAGCCTCGGTCTTGTTGATGTTCTAACTGAAGAAAGTTAGTTCTCATCCAGGACTTGATGTCTGGCAGACATTCTGTCAGCGCAGCAATGGTCCTGGAGTCAAGGGTGGAGGCAGAGAGGTACAGTTGGGTGTCATCTGCATACATGTGCAAGTTGACCCCATGTCTGCACATGATGTCACCAAGAGGGAGCATATACATATTGAAGAGGAGGGGACCAAGGACAGAGCCCTGAGGAACCCCGCACAAGACAGTCCGGGGGCTAGAGGAGAAACTGTTTGTAGAGATGAAGTGGAGGCAACGTGAGAGGTACTATCTGAACCATTCAAGAGCCGTGAAGGTTGAGGTGAGAGGATAGGCGGTGGATAAGGATAGAGTGGTCAATGGTGTCAAAGGCAGCAGAGAGGTCAAGGAGGACGAGGAGGCAGAAGGAGCCCTGGTCACAGATGGATAGAATGTCATTTGTCACTTTGACCAGGATTGTTTCTGTGCTGTGGATGGCATGGAAACCCAATTGAAGGGGTTTGAGAAGGGAGTAGCGGGAAAGGAAAGAACGAAGCTGCGAAGCAACAACACATCCCAGGATCTTGGAGAGGAAAGGGAGGTTGGAGATGGGCTAGTAGTTTGAGTGCAGAGATGGGTCCAGGGAGGGTTTTTTACCAATAGGAGTGTTGACGGCCGTTTTTAATGGTGTGAGAACAGTACCAGAGGACAGGGAGAGGTTTATGATGTCTGTGAGTAGAGGGGCAAGGCGGTGGAGCTGGGAGATAAGGAAAGGGATAGGAATGGGGTCGAGAGTACAGGTGGTCGGTTTCATGTGGTTTATAGTGGTGATGAGAGAGGAATGGGAGACAGGTTCGAAGGTGTGGAGGGAGGGATGGATATGGGCCAGTTTGTGAGGGGAAGATGGAGAGAGGGTAGTAGACAGAAGGGCAGAGGCAACTGAGCGTATCCCCTTAACTTTGGATTCGAGGAAGTCCAGCATCGCCTTGCAGTTGGCATTGGAGGTGAGGATGGGTGAGGCATGAGAGGTTGAGAAGAGGAGCCTGGGGTTGTCCTTGGCCTCTAAGCCTTGGAGTAGAACAACGATTTAGCGGAGGCAAGGGCGGAGCGGTAGAATTTGATAAGGTCCAGCCAGCTGTGCCGATGGACGTTAAGTTCGATTTAAGCCAGGTGTGTTCAGTGGCACACATCTGTGCTTCAAAGGAGTGGAGGTGGCTGGTTTACCATGATGACGTACGTGAATAGGAGACGGTTCGGGAAGAGAGGTGAGCAAGGGAATTGAAAGTGTAGGAGAGGGAGCGGTGGAGAAGAATGACCGAGGAGGATAGGTCATTGGAAGAGGAAGCCCAGAGGGGAAGGTAGCCGAGGTGGGGAGGAGCGAGATTTGTTTCCAGGGACGATAGGAGATGGAGATGGGTTTGGTGGCTGTGGGGAGAGGGATTGAGGAGTTAAGGGAGATGAAGTGATGATCCAAGATTGCTTTGTCGATGATGGTGAGGTCCGAGACGGTGAGGCCCTGGGTGATCACCAGGTCGAGGGGATGACTGTGGACATTTGTGGTGGAGTGGATGTGGAGGGATAGGTTGAGGGAGGAGGTAAGGGAGGAGAAGTCAGCAGAGGTAGAGCGGGGTTGGGGGGGGGGGTGGTGAAGTGGAGGTTCAAGTCACCTAGGATGATATACGGTCAATTCATTTTACAGTATATTCTATGAAGCACTTTGAGACCTCTAGAAGACATGATAAGGTGCTATATCAAATGCAAGGATTATTATTATTGTGTGCAAATCCACCATTTTATTGCTTATACAGTACAAAAGGAG